TGAAAGGGTTTTCCTGAGAACCCTAAAACTTAAGGAGATTTCTTGATATTATAAAAGTTCAGAAGTTTATTTGGAGGCATTTGTTGAATTTATTTTAAATATAATGTATAAACTTATGACTAAAAAATTAATTTAATATCTAATAATTTATTGATTGCAAATCAAACTAATTTGAAATACTATATATAATAAAATATACATTAGGTACATAAAATTATCATCGCATACAAACAAGAAAATGGAAACACGTGTAGTGCATGATTTAAATGCATGAAACTTTTCTTCGACAGTGAGAGATGGTGAAAATGTTTTATTAATGACTTTCATGAATAAAAATAACAGTAATAGTAGGAAATGAAAGGTCTTGTAAAATAGTGGAGAGGGTGGATGAAAGAGGTCATTTAAGATATTAAATGCAGGCCATAACCTCTCCATTGCTCAATTTTTCATACATACATGAAGATACACGCAAGTTCAAGTTTTCATAACTTCTCAATTGCTTGCACATTCATGCATGCATACATGAAGACATACACAAATTTTCATAATCTCTCAATTGATTGCCATTAATTTTCAAATTAAACACACACTCATAACACTTCTCCACTAACACTTGGTAGACTAAATATAAATTTATTTGCACTAATAATAAAAAAAACATTACAACTATTCCTCCCCTAGTAAGTCACTATAAATAACAATAAAATTGTATCACACTTCTCCAATCAACATTCCAACTTATAATAAAATTTAGATAGAAAAGAAAAGAGCCAAATCTAGCTTGCTTTTCTCCTCGTTGCTTCAACAACCTCGAGCTTGCTTTTTCTATTATCTTTATTATTTTCATGTTCTTTTCTTGGTCAACATTGCTATGCACTGAGATTTTTAAGGTGTTCAATTGTTTTTTGTTTTTTTAGAGATTATGTGAATGTATGTGATTCATTTAATAAATAATAATTAAAGTTTCTATCCATTTTCGCATTCTATTTTTGTCTCAAACTATGTTCTGTGGGATTTTGTTAACTATGAGGTTTTTGGTGATTCCTTACATGATTACATGTAATGAGTTAGAGGAGAAAAAAATAAACTCCTATCTTGTTTTTATAGCTCATCAATTTGAGGCTAAAATTATTCTATATTAATAAGTTAATTATTAACTAAATAAATAATTTAATAAATAACTAAGTTAAGTTAATATATTATAAGGTACCTAAGTGTTTTTTAGCCTTTCAGAAAACCCCTTAAATTTGGGCATTCCTTAAATAATATCATTTGACTTGCAAAATGTCATAAACCCTACTAATCTTTAGTGATCTAAGTAAGTCCCCTTAAACTTTCAACAATGTTCAAAAAACTCTTCTTAATGGCGTTAATGCTGACTTTGCTCTTTTTCACATGTCGGTAAATTTATGTATAGTAATCTTTTTTCCAATAAAAAATGTATTTCATGCTTCTAGGTTTTTTTAACAATGTTAAAAGATGAAAGGGTTTTCCTGAGAACCCTAGAACTTAAGAAGATTTCTTGATATTATAAAAGTTTGGAAGTTTATTTGGAGGCATTTGTTGAATTTATTTTAAATAGAATGTATAAACTTTTGACTGAAAATTTTAATTTGATATCTAATAAGTTATCGATTGCAAATCAAACTAATTTGAAATACTATATATAATAAAATATACATTATGTACATAAATTTATCACCGCATACAAATAGGAAAATGGAAACACGTGCAGTGCATGATTTAAATGCATGAGAACTTTTTTTAAACAGAGATAGATGGTGAAAATATTTTATTAATAACTTTCATGTATAAAAGTAACAATAATAGTAGGAATTGAAAGGACTTATGAAATAGTGGAGAGAGTGGATGGAAGAGGTCATTTAAGATATTAAATGCAAACCATAAAGAAATTTAATTAAGAAAATTATTAAAAAAATAATTATAAAAATAATAATTGTTCTCATTTAAGTATGCATGTATGTTCATGTATATATGCGTTTTATTATGTATGTATGCATGTGTTTTGGAGGATGTATGTATGTGTTCTATTTATGTATGCATGTATTTTGGAGGGTACTTTGGGAAGAAATGTTTTAACATACCAATACACTTTTATAAGACTAGTATAGTGCACGTGCGTTGCATGTTGACGTATTTGTTTTATGTTCTAATACTTTACACAATTCATTATTTAATTAATGGAAAAGTTTCATTTTGAATGTAATTTTAACAATATTTGAGGACTTATTTGTAATTTTCTTACAATTTAGATCATATACTTCTTTTAATCTTCTTAAGATTTAAGTTTTAAACTATATAGGGGTTTATCTGTAAAAAATTATAAAGTTTTAGTATTTTTCTATAAATATATGAAATTTTAATGGTCTTTGTGAAAATTATGAAGATCCATGGTTGTTTGTGAAAAATTTCAGGGTTATTTTGTGAACATTGGCAAATTATGGAATATTCAAAAGATACAATTTTTTTAATCTTAAAAGACATAGTTCTCTTTACTTTATAATTTAAGATAATGAATGGCATTTAAAATATGGAGAATTCGGATTGAGGCTGAAGTTTGAGGTCTAATTTGGGGGGGGGGGGGTGGGGGGGTGTTAATGAATTTTCTATTTCTATAATTATTATTATGTACTTAATTGTGCTTTTAGAGAAATATTATATTATCCATGAACGTGGTAGATATATTTTTTTGTAGCATGTTACTAATTATATGATTATAGAAGAGAGAGAAGGTGAAAGTGGGAATTTTATTTTATTATAATGGATTAGCAAAAATAAAGATAATTAATATAAACTGGAATAGCATGACACACTTAACATAAAAGTAAAGAATGTGCAAATCTAGAATATAGTTTTAACATTAGGGAGGTTATAATATACTTATTATATAAAAAAATTTACCCAAAAGACAAAAATTCTAAGTTTGTTCTTTACTTTTATATTAAGTGTGTCATGCTATTCCAGTTTATATTCATTATCTTTATTTTTGCTAATCCATTATAATAAAATAAAATTCTCACTTTCACCTTCTCTCTCTTCTATTATCATATAATTAGTAACATGCTACAAAAAATATATCTACTAAGTTCATGGATAATACAATATTTCTCTCAAATCACAATTAAGTACATAGTCATAATTATAGAAATAGAAAAAAAATTCATTAAAAATTTATATAGGTTGCAAGTAAGGGCTATTATGATAAATAAATAAAAACAGGCTCTTTGGATTCCGTAACAGTCAAATGTAATTACCACTTAAATAAAAACTACAATTGAAAATGTAACTCTCATTTCAAGTATGCATGAATGCATGCACTAATGACATTTTAAGTTGACACTTTGTTTGCAAATTGAAACGTATATTATTAGTTTGTCATATGTGCGTTTTAAGTGGACAATTAATAAGAGAGTTATGCCATTATTAAGAATGTATGCATATAAGCATTTTAAGTTGACACTTTTTTTGCAAATTGAAACGTATATTATTAGTTTGTCATATGTGTGTGCATTCAATTCTCAGCTATTATGTCAAATACAACTTACAATCTTAAAAAAAAATTATGATAACATTAATATTGGATTAGTGGAGGGGTTAAAAAAATAGAAGTTAATATTAGTGGACAATTAATAGGAGAGTTATGTCATTATTAAGAATGTATGCATGTATATGTATGTGTTTATATGTATGTAAATATGTATTTTATTGATGCATGTATGTGGTTTGGAGGGCATTTTTGGAAGAAATGTTTTAACATACCAACACAATTTTATAATAGTACTAGTATAGTGCACGTGCGATGCACGTGTAACCACTTTCATGTGTAAGCACAGAGGAGGAAAGCAACAATTCAAGGGCCTGATAATTTGAACTTTGACTGATGTTTATGAAACATTAAGCCCAGTCACATGTTTATCAATTTCTCAAATCTGGTTGTTGTAACTTTCAGCAATACCAATCACAACAAAGTGATTTACGAATGGAGGGAAACTTTTTTCTTTTAAACTACGATACAAAGTATAATAGCATAGACATCTTGCAGAAAGCATAGATAACTGTGTACAAAAACTAAAAATAAAAATGAGATGAAGCTAGCTTATCATCTGCAGTCGAGGCCATGTGCTATTCATTATTGACGAAGAATAATACGATCTTATTAGAGCACCGATGTTGGAGCTACATCATGTCGCTCCAATAGTCCACAAGGCCGTTGTCATCAAGGTTGGTCAATACACGAAATTAAAAAATGGCTAGGTTTGTTGGCGCGAAAATGATAGATTGTTTCGGCAAGCTATATATGTTTTACAGGAGCGATATCGATATTCTTTGTTATGGTGAATGGATTGTGGAGAAGGAGGCAGGGATGGAGGAGTTGTATATTGTTGAATGTAGAGGTTATGATACGGAGGAGATGAAGAGGGTTTTGATTTGAATGAGGAGTTAAAGAAGATTAATAGTGTCGTACGTTAGTTGAGAAGGAAAATTATTAAATGTGTCTTTTGTGCTCGTTAGTTGAGAAGGAAAATTATTAAATGTGTCTTTTGTGCTTTAATCATTGTGCCTTCACCTTAAATTCATGTATTTTATGTATGTATGTATATGTTTCAAAGGGTATTTTCAGAAGAAATGTTTTAACATCCCAATCCACTTTTATAATAGTATTAGATTAGATATTAGATATTAGATTAGATTAGATTAGAATTAGATTAGAATTAGAATTAGAATTAGAATTAGATTAGATTAGATTGGATTGGATTAATTTCTTTATGCAAACTTCAACAGACTTAAGAAAGGCCTCAAAATATGAAGATCCCGCCTCTAGGCCCATCAGCCAGCCCACTGATTTTGTACTCTTCCGTTAAATATTCACCAAAGAGGGTAATTCCGTAAATTCCCATCGATTATACTAGGGCTACCGATTCGATATAAAGAACGCAAGCATACCCAAATCTCTATTCGCTACACTTTTTCATGGCGTGTAAAGTTTTATATTATTTTTTCGGTTTTATAATTTACAAAAAAATTGGGAGCTATCGTTCCTCAATTTCTCCCTATAATTAGAGGCGTCTATAAGCCCTAATCTCAGAAAATTGGAGTAGATCTAGGGTTACGCCCGCCTTTATATTTTATTCCAATTTTTTTCAGAATTTATTCTAAAATCATTTTTTTGATGTAATTGTTGAAGTTGTTGTGCTATGATTATAAAAAATTCCTCGTTCTGACTTGCTATCATGTAGCATGACAGACTCCTTTACACCCATAGAATATGAGCACCGTTGATCTGTTATTTGTAGACATTTTGATTCTTGAACTGATTTGGGTTTTATCATAATTTGATTTATTTCAATCTTAGAGTGCAATGATACGCTGGAGAAATAATTTATTTGTTGATTTTGATAGTACTCCAGCTTTTGAGGTATGTACTCCTTCCTATGGTTTTAATTTTGATCAGTTGAATCTTTGAAATTAAGTTTAAGCTTGCTGATTTAGTTCATTTATATTATTGTATTATGGTTATGTGCTTTGCTACAGACCCAAAACATGAGACCAACAGGGGAATTCCCCTCCTATTGCATAATGAGCTAGTCATCATCCCATATTTTGGGTCCTTGCGAATTTTACTTATTGTTATTGTTTAGTAATTTGATGTGTCTTACTACAGCGAAACTTATTTGCCTTGTTTTTAGATCAAACCATATCATAAATTAATGTTAATTAGGTTTATTGACGTATCATTGAATTATCTTCTTTTTTATGTTAGTGTTTTAAGTTCCAGCTCCATAATAGAGATTTGGAAAAGAAAAATACTTTAAGAATAGGATAATAGAACTATGTTTAAGCTTTGAGGAGTGTTACAACAGTAAGAGTTAGAGTTAACACATTTGCAATTCTATTTGTTCTTAAGAAAATGTATATTTAAATACTTCTAGCTTGATAATTTTTTACAATTATGCATGTTATTTTGTTTCAAGTGTGCTCTTTTTGGAAAGGCTTGGACTCTAGTGTATTTTTGGGTTTATTGTGTATACTTGTAAGCTTGATTTTGTAGAGGGTGGAGTAGAGTGGAGGGGAGAAACAAGATATTGTGTTTGATATGAAGTTTTTGGAGTTGGAGGAAAAAGATAGATAAAATGGACTGTGAAAATGGAGAGAATACAATGTAGGGAATTGCTTCTCCTACTCTATTCTTTTCTTTTCAAAAACCTCCTACTGAAAACATGATTTTTTTTTCTTGTCTCTCACTTCATTTCATCCTCTAGCAAATCAAACCTAATAAATTTCTCCACCCTATAGAAATTTAGTCCCCATTACCTTCCCTCTTTAGCCCCTACTAGGGCATGTTTGGGTAGATAATTAAATCTCCTTATAAGTGCTAGAAACTAAGTTGGGAAATCCTAACTTTTTTTCTTACTTATAAGTTAGAAATAAGCAAATATTTAACTTTACCAAACATGATTTGGGAACCTTGTTAGTAGAAAAACACTTAAAATAAGTAGAAACACGCTTAACTTTGCCAAACATGATTTGGGAACCTATAAATAGAAACACACTTTTAAGTTAAAATAAGTAGGTTGCTAAACTAGAAGAAGTCATAATGTAGGTAAGTTTGTAGTCAGCCTTAGATAGTTTGTAGTCAGCCTCTAAAGAATTAGTTAATAGTCCTAGGCTTGTGGAAAGCACACCCTAGTCTTTCTAGTAAGGGACATTGTCAATGAATATGGTTCAATATATCTCATTGTGAACAAAAAGAGAAAATAAGTTAGAAATATAGTATAACTCCTTTTTAGCATCCCTTGTGATATTTAGGGCACGTTTGGACTTAATTTTTGGAGGGTGAAAGCGTGCAAAAGTTCTGAAAAGTCAGAACTTTTGTAGGCTTTCTTGCAATATCGCCCCAAATTGGGGCGATTTTGCAAGAAAGCCTGCCAAATTTCTGATTTTTTCAGAACTTTGGTAGGCTTTCCCCCTCCAAATAATGCAAACAAACGGGCCCTTAGTGCAAGAGTAGCAATAACTTGACCACAAACCACAAGCTACTTTTGTATTATAAGAAACAAAAGTGTTGGATCCTTGATGAGTCATAGAGGTGGATATTAACTTGCTAAGGACCATATACTTTTGTTTCTTGTGGTTGAAAAGTAGTATATGATATTATGATATATTGTCTTGTTAGTATTATTTGTATGCAAATAGAGAATTTATGATATGACATGAAAAGTAGACATCCTCTTCATCAGTTACTTGAGTTTTTCTTTGTTTTGTTCGGATTATATTAGTTATCATTGTTATATTTTTCTAACAAAGTTCACTTTCTATTAAAATGCTGCTTGTGTTTGGATTTTACTTTAAGGAGTTATAAGGGCATGTCTTGATTGCAAGCATTTTGAAGGGAAAAGTTGCGAAGTTGCTAAACTATGTGGTCCACAGTTACCTTTTTTAACTTTTTTATGTTTGGTTGCATCTTTGAAAACAAGAACACATAACGTTTTACTTTTAAAGGAAAGAAATTGTTGAAAATTTTAAAGAATTGTGAACAAATAGAAGTCAAACTGAACAACAAAAAAGCTTAAGGAGAAAATGATGATGTGTCCATTTTTCATGTGTCAAATTCTCAACTTACATATAACATCCAAATAGACCATGAGTAACACATCAAACATGTTTTCTTGTTTTCAAAAATGCAATCAAACAAAAAAAAGTTGAGAAAATTAAATGTGGACCCTACAATTTGTTAACTTTTCAAAATTTCCCTTCAAAATATCTATAACCAAACCAGCCCCAAGCGTCACACAAATTCATTAACTTAAGTTTGCAAAATAGTTAGCTTGTGACAACTGCATGAGATGGTTCATAGACTCACTTTCCATGCGTCAAATACTCAACTTGCATAAACACATCCAAATAGGTCATGAGTGACACATCAAACATGTTTTCTTGTTTTCAAGGATTCAAGCAATCAAAAAAAAGTTGAGAAAGTTAACTGTCAAGTGTACAATTTGACAACTTTTCAAAATTTCCCTTCTAAATGTCTAACCAAACCAGCCCCAAGTGACACAAATTTACTAATTTAGGTTTGCAACATAGTTGATTTGTGACAACTGCATGAGATGATTGGTAGACTACGAATATATTAGGTAATGGTACTAAGAACATTGCTCCCATGCAACTTAAATTTCAAAAGTTTTGACTAAGCACTTTGGAAATTTAAGTTGGGTTATTTATTAAAATTCAGTTCCTGAGTTGCAACTGAAAAAAATTTCATTGTTGCTCAATACTGGTGCATTTTTTAGTAGGTAAGAAGTGAATAGAAAAGGCAGTATCTTTCAAGGAAATGGTGTTTGATGTGCCTATTCTCCTTATGGAAGAGAAGATTATTTACTTTGTCCTGTCAATTGCATAAATGGTGCAATAAAGGTATATCAGACGCCTAGATCAATGAATTTAATGATTTGTTTATTCATCCTAGTGTTGTTATCTCTTTAATGCGTCATTGCTACAATAGACTGGGTGCACAATATACTATCTAATGGAACAGATGGTATCTACTTGTTGAGCTAGATGACTTGCAATTGAAATTTAATGTAGGTAGATATCTTGCAGTCTAAGTTCTTTGTGCCTACTCTCCCTACTGAAGAAGATAAAGTATTTACTTCAGCTTATAAATGGTGTAATAAAGGTATACCAATCCCTCAATCACTGCATTTAAAGATTTTCGTACATTAGTCCGAGGATTGATATCTTTTTAATTCATCATTAATGCCATGGATTGAGTGCACAAGATACTACATTGTGGAAGAGGTGATATCTACTTGTGGAACTAGATGATACCTTATGGAAGTTGATTGTAGCTCCAGTTACAAGCAACTTAGGTGCTTGCTAATTTAGTAAATAAACTGAAATGAAAAAAACATAAAAAGGTAATACCTTTGCAGGAAATGGTCCTTTTTTTTGGGTGCCTACCCCCTATGGAGGAGAAGAAAATATTTAGTACATATGATCATTTGTATTAAAAGTACACCAGCACAGTATATTTTCTCATGGAGGAGGTGGTATCTAGCTCTAACATTATTCTTTCAGCTTAAAAGCCCATCCATATTTCTTTCTATACGGATCTAACATTTTATCAAGAGTCTTCTTTCCTTGAGTATAGACAGTAGAAAGGAAGCAGCGGAATTGGGCACATTATTCATTAATAACTAATGAGATTTAAGAATGGTCAATTTGTGTTTAGATATTTTTCATTATGTTTTTGATCTGACTGTATTTTATTAAAGATAAAGGGGTACTTTGTTTTTAATTTGAATTAGATGTTATGTTGCCTTATGAATATGTAAGAAATAGTTTGTCTGCTATTGTGTTAATGTTAAATTTTTGCTGTAATAGGATTTTTGTTGTTTAAACTCCAAATAGATGTTAAAATGCAGTCAAGGAAATTTATGCTATGTTTTTATTTACTCGCGGGAAGCGCAACTTCCAAGTGTTCAAGTGTATAATGTTGCACTTTAAATTGTTGGAACCTGAATGTGCTCCAAATCTTTGTTATCTGCCATATGTTGTATTCATATATTGCTTGCTTTGATTTGTATTCATTTGGTTATTCATTTTCTCAATGGTGATAAATTTGTTTATATGTGAGGCTATAGTCACTATATGTGATATTTAAGATTTTCATGACATTTACTACACTATACTGAGATGTATGCCACGGGACTGCCATGTGTGTTTAGTTTTGTTTATTAAAATTTGAAGTCTTCCTAAAGGATGCATATCATGTCATTGTTTGTAATCCATGCATCCAAATTAAGATGTAGATACTTTTCATGAATTTGTTTTGGGTAATGTTTTTCTTTTCCGTTTATGTTACCATGGGTGATGTTTGCTACTTTGCTTAATGTAGAATAGGATTGATGGGTCTTAAAATCAGGTCTTAAGATCAATCTATTACTGTGTTTATGCTAGTAATTATTTAATTACTTTCTCTATGTTAATAATATTGCCTTTTGTTTACCATTCCCTGTGATGATGAGTTTAGTAATCTGAAATTCTGTTTATTATCATGAATGATTGGGCTCCCTCATCAACTCATTTGATGGGGTCGAGGAACCAAGATTTCTCATGCAATGTGGTTAACAGGCAAGTCTGAGGGATGATTTTTGGTTTAGTGTTTTGTTACCCTGCCAAAATCTGCAATGTGGTTAAAAGGCATTATCGATCCTTTATGATTTTTTTCACATTTGCTATAGTTTTTTAACTTTATTCCTTAGAATATTTTCTTTCATAACTTTGTGTCATATAAAATTTTGAAACAAGGTTAATGTGAAGGATAATATTACACTGCAGGGCAAAATGCATTTGGATTTTGTTTTCTTTTTTCTGTGGGTAACCTTGTATTACGGCATGATGATGCAGGAACATTTCCACAAGCATTCAACATATGGTATACTTTTGGTGACGTTGATTATACAAGTTCTATGTTTCTCCATGTTTCTCCTGCAAAGCGACGGCTTTCTGATTATGGTTAAACTTATAATGATTTGTAGTTCATAAAAAGTTTGAGGTGTCATGTGTTGCCCAAGGATTAAGCAAAGTTGAAGCTTCTATAGATCTTGCAGGTTATGGGGACCAAGTTTTTAGTTAATAGTTCTTTAAAGCTTATTACTCGATATTATCAAAATCGAAGGAGCTTGTCTTAGATGAGTTTTGACTTCTAACATCCTATGTACATGAGATCATTTCATGGGTATTGCATGCTGGTGCTCATACAGAAACTTGATATGTGGGTCTCTGGAACGAATATTGTCTTCAAGGAATGGTGACCTACAGATGAAGGACCAATGTACTTTGAAAGTTTTCTTTTGGTAGGCTTTTTAACGTAATCTTCTTTCCTCTTTTTGCCCTGTTGTTCAGATGAAGGGTGAATTGTTAGCTTGACTTGGTCATTGATGACCAAATCAACCATTGTTTCTCTGTTGAGAGAATGGTGGAGAACCTTGACTTGGTCATTGATGACCAAATCAACCATTGTTTCTCTGTTGAGAGAATGGTGGAGAACGTGAATCATGGGTGGTTGAGAGAAAATCTCTCATGGGCATTGTTTCTCTGTTGAGAGAATGGTGGAGAACGTGAATCATGGGTGGTTGAGAGAAAATCTCTCATGGGAGCGTATCTGAGGGGTAGAGATGATGGGTTTAGCCCCTATATAAGGAGGATCATTCTCCTTGAGAAAGCACAACGAAAATCAAAAAGAAAACTCACTTACCCATTACCGGAGCCCCTCAGAAATCCTCTTTCTTCTTCTCTGTTTTTCATTCATGAATTGCATACTTGCATGCGCTCTTTTAAAACGTTCTCTGCTGTTCTGTTTTCATTTCTCAATTTTAGGCATCCTTAAGTTCTTGATAAACCTCCGAGTTTGGTACACCACGATGCCGGCCTAGTGAGTAATGACTATATTTAGGGCTTTGGTTAAGGCAACATATAAAAACAACATACTGCAAAAAAAGGAATTTTGAAAATTCCTAGAAAATGTTACACC